TTGCTACTTCATGACACAAGGTGCTGGCTGAATGGGGGCGCCATGCCAGAGGCCCGGCACCCCCGCACAGGCGCCTCTGCCCTGCACGTGGCTGCTGCCAAGGGCTACATTGAGGTGATGAGGTGAGTCGGGCCGGTGTGTTCCATCTTGCTGTCTTATACCTTCCTGTGGATCCTGTCCTTTCCCTTTCTCTTTAAACGTATGTACCGAAGACTGTGTATTTCCCTGTCAATAACAGCCTTAGCTGTACCCACAAGTTTTGATGTGCGGTCTTTTTTAATTTGTCATTCTGTGTAAAATATTTCCCAATTTTTAATCTTTTATTATTTATTTATTTTAAGACAGGGTCTTGCTATATCGCCCAGGCTGGAGTGCAGTGGTGCAATCGTGGCTCACTGCAGCCTCAAACTCCCCAGGCTCAGGTGATCCTCCTACCTCAGCCTCCTGAATAGTGGGGACTACAGGCGCGCACCACCATGCCCCGCTAGTTTTTGTAGAGACAGGGTTTCACCATGTTCCACAGGCTTGTCTCAAACTCCTGGGCTCAAGTGATCTACCTACCTTAGCCTCCCAAAGTGCTGGGATTACAGGTGTGAGCCACTGTACTTGGCCTAATTTCAAAATATACAGGACTTCTCTAGTCATCATTTTGTTACCATTTTCCTGGCTTAATTGCATTGTGGTCAGAGAATGGGTTCTATAGGATTCTAACTTTTGAAATGTATTGTTTTGCCTTATATACCCCAGTATATGTAAGTTGGAAAAGAATGGAGTCGTCAAGTACAGTGTTCTCTGTAGGTTATTAGGTCAGCCTTGTAATCATGCTGTTTTATTTGTAGTGCTTCTTTATCTGTAGTGATATTTCCCCCGCTGCTTATTCTGTCAGTTACTATGAGAGGTGCATTTAAATTCTTGCTATGATTATGGACTTTGTTTCTTCTTACAGTTCTGTCAGTTACAATTTGTATATATTTTAAGACTGGATTATTTGGTACATATATAGTTTATTTTTGTTTTTGAGATGGAGTCTGGCTCTCTGTCACCTAGGTTGGAGTGCAGTGGTGTGATCATAGCTCACTGCAACCTCCGCCTCTTGGGTTCAAGCAGTTCTCTTGCCTCAGCCTCCCCAGTATCTGTGACTATGAGAGTAAGCCACCGCACTTGAAAATACTTTCGTATTTTCAGTAGAGATGGAGTTTCTCTATGTTGCCTAGGTTGGTCTTGAACTCCTGACCTCAGGTGATCTGCCTGCCTCAGCCTTCCAAAGTGCTGGGGTTACAGGCGTGAGCCACTGCACCCAACCAAGGTGCATGTAGAGTTTACATTGCTATGGTGCCCATTCCGTTTCTGTCATCCTCACCTCAGTCTTGGGTCTTATTTTGTTCCTATTTGGCTGCCTTTCTCCTTTCTATTAAAGTTGTTGGTTCCAGTTCTCATCCTTAGGCTCCTCATTCCTTTTTCAGTTCCCTCTTCTCTCTTTCATGACTTACACTTTATTATTTAGTATAAAAATGAAGTTAACATGAATTCCTCCCCCTCTCTGCTCACCTCTATGTTGACAGTTTTTAGTCAGGTTTTCTCAGTGAGGTACATAAGATGACTCTTAACAGCTCCAGACCGCTGTCCCTTCTGCTTAGCACCTGCTGCTGAAGTAGAGCTCCTGGACCTCCGTATCTGGCCCCAGTCCCAGCTCTGTTGCTGACTGGGTCCATCCCTAAGCTGATCCTTTCGACAAGGGGGACTGGAAACTGAATGGTTGGGACTGGTGATGTGCCCAGGCCTGCAGGCCGTGTCCTTTTCCTCCCATGGCTTCCACCCCTGAATCCTGGAGGCGGCTGCATCTCCTCCACTGCACCTGCAGCCCAGCCAGCAGGAAGAGAGGGGCAAAGGAGCAAACACCCATTCCTTTCCAGAGAGCAGTCTGCAAGTGGCACGCACCACTTAATGCCAACATCCCGTTTGCCAGACCCTAGTCACATGACCGCTCATCGCTGCAAGGGACAGTAGGAGATTTGTCTTTAGCTGGGTGGCCTGTGTCCGGCCGGGTGACCTGTGTCCGGCCGGGGGCCTGTGTGGGTACTGTTAGTAAAGGGAGAGATAGAGTCCATATTCGTGGGCAACCTCATTCATTCTCTGCCATAGAACTGAAGCACTTTGGACTTAGAAATATTCACTGACTATAATTTCATTACTGCTTCTTTGTAAGGCTGCATGTTTACACTCAGATCTATTGACTGCATTTTTTATTTTATTTATTTATTTATTTTGAGACGGAGTCTCGCTCTGTCACCCAGGCTGGAGTGCAGTGGCACGATCTCCACTCACTGCAATCTCCATCTCCCGGGTTCACGCCATTCTCCTGCCTCAGCCTCCCGAGTAGCTGGGACTACAGGCGCCCGCCACCACACCCGGCTAATTTTTTTGTATTTTTAGTAGAGACAGGGTTTCACCATGTTAGCCAGGATGGTCTCGATCTCCTGACCTTGTGATCCGCCCGCCTCGGCCTCCCAAAGTGCTGGGATAACAGGTGTGAGCTACCGAGCACGGCCATTTATTTTTATTTTTATTTTTGAGATGGAGTTTCACTCTGTCATGCATGCTGGAGTGCAGTGGCTCAATCTCAGCTCACTGCAACCTCTGCCCCCTGGGTTCAAGCACTTCTCCTGCCTCAACCGCCTGAATAGCTGTGATTACAGGTATGTGCCACCCTGCCCGGCTAATTTTTTGTTTGTGGTAGAGACAGGTTTTGCCAAGTTGGCCAAGATGGTCTCGAACTCCTGACCTCAAGTGATCCTCCCGCCTCAGCCTCCCAAAGTGCTGGAATTACAGGCATGAGCCACTGCGCCCAGCCTGACTGCATTTTAAAAAGAATGTAACCAGCATTCGCATCAAAGATCTGTTGCAGGCTGGGCGTGGTGGCTCACGCCTGTAATCCCAGCACTTTGGGAAGTTGATACAGGTGGATCATGAGGTCAGGAGTTCAAGACCAGCCTGGCTAACACAGTGAAACCCCGTCTCTCTTAAAAATACAAAAAATTAGCTGGGCATGGTGGCGGGCGCCTGTAGTCCCAGCTACTTGGAAGGCTGAGGCAGGAGAATGGCGTGAACCCAGGAAGCAGAGGTTGCAGTGAGTGGAGATCATGCCACTGCACTCCAGCCTGGGCAACAGTGTGAGACTCTGTCTCAAAACAAAACAAAACAAAAACATTTGTTGCAGAGTAGAGGTATATGTTTATTTGATGGTACTGATTCGATGCTTATTTTCTGAGCCCCTGCTGTGTGCCAGGCAGTCTGTTAGTTGCCAAGGAACTGGGTAAACAAGAGAGATCCGGGCCTATGTGCGGCTCATACCTCGTGGGGAGACAGACATTTTGGACTGATGCTCTTTGCTGCAGCGCTGTCCCGTGCATCACAGGATGTGGGGCAGCCTCTCCGGCCTCTACCTATGGGACGTCGGGAGCATCCCTGGTTGTGAGAACTAAAAATGTCTCTGGACGTGGCCAAATGTCCCCTGGGGGGCGCATTGTCCCAGTTGAGAACCACTGGCTTAAGATGCAAATAGGGTGATGGGAGAAGACAAGTGTGATGAGGAGGGGCTTTGGGGTCAGGAGACATGGGGGTGAAGGGCTGGTGACTGCCAAAAAGGGGCTCAGCGTGAGACGCTGCAGGGCACAGAACACTCTCCGACGAGAGCAGCAAGTGGCGGGTGGGCGCTTGGGGAAATAGCGGGGGGCCCGCACAGCTGGGGCAGGGTGAGCTCTGGGCAAAGCGTGGGAAAGGTGAGGGGCGAGGTGGGCGGGGCCAGATAGAGGGACTTGTGCTTATAAGGCTTCTTCGTAGAATATCCCAGGCTGTCCATCTGTTCCCACTTTGCGAAGCTCTTTCTCATTGACACAGAAACTCATTCCAGTTCTCCAAAAATAGACACGTCCTGCCCTGAGCTGAGCTCGGAGAGTGCCCTTGGACGTGGAGCCCTGCCTTTCCCTCAGATTGAATGGTTTAAGGTGTTATTGTTTTCTGGCAGAAAACTGTCTTGAGTGAGGGTTTCTCAGCCCAGGCGCTACCCACATTTTGGGGCAGATCCTTCTCCTTGTGGGGCTGCTGCTGGGCGCTGCTGGGTGTGGAGCCGCCTCCCTGGCCTCCACCCAGCCGATGCCACTAGCCCCTGCACCAGGTTATGACAACAAAGATGTCTGCAGACCTGCCGGGTCTCCCCTGGGGGACAGCATTGCCCTGGTTGGGAGTCACTGCTTTAAGCCAGCCCAGGTCCTAGAACACTACTGCCCTGAGACAGCCCTTTGGGGTCCAATCCTTCTGACGGGCGTGGGGGCTGGCACAGGGTCCTGCACCTGCATCCTCCGGGGCTGCCTCCTTACACCCCACTGCTGTCACCTTGGAATCCCACAGCCAGGGTGACCCCCTGCCGGCACCAGGAGCAGGTTCCAGAGGCCACCTGCAGGGCCAGGGTTTAACGTGTAGCTGCTGGTCCAAGGGGAGGGACAAGGCCTGGTGCAGAGGGGCCTCTTGTGGCCAGGGACGCTGGGCAGTGGCTCTTTACCAGCCTGTCCAGGGGCGTTTTAGTCTCGTGGCCTGGGACCTCAGTTACCGCACCACTGGCTGAAATCAGCCCCCGGCCCAGGGCCTCGCCTTGGCCTCTGACCCTGAGACTCCCTGGCCCCCAGGTTGCTCCTTCAGGCTGGCTACGACCCAGAGCTCCGGGACGGGGACGGCTGGACTCCCCTGCACGCGGCGGCACACTGGGGCGTGGAGGATGCCTGCCGCCTGCTGGCCGAGCATGGCGGGGGCATGGACTCGCTGACCCACGCGGTGAGGGCCAGTGCCCAGGCTGGTGGGGGGCAGGGCGCGGGGAGGACCCAGCGCCTCCTTCATTGTCTGCTCCTGCTCCTCCCCCAACCCAGGGGCAGCGGCCCTGTGACCTGGCTGATGAGGAAGTGCTGAGCCTGTTGGAGGAACTGGCCCGGAAACAGGAGGACGTGAGTGTCAGGGCTGAGGGGCTTGTCCCAGACTCCCCATGTCCCCTCAACTCCTCAGAGGAGGGTGCAGAGGGAGTCCCCCCCCGACTTCTGACACCCACCACCCCAGCAACCTGCTCTTTCCTGCTTGGTGACCCAGCTCCAGCCCCAGCCTCAGGAGAGACCCCCAGCCGGGGCAGGATAGAGATGGGGCTGCAGAGCTTCCTACCTGCCTGGTGGGGAGGCAGCAGAAGGATCTGGACAGGGTTGTCTGACACTCAGACAAAATAACAAACCAGCTCAGTGCTCCTCATCACCTCAGGGTGGCCCTTGGCAGCAGCCATGTGCAGGACTGTCCTAGACTTAGGCTGGGCTGGTCACCTGCAAGGTGTCCCCCAGCCATCCCCGGGGCAGCCTTGCTGGGAAAACTTGCAGTGAAGGAGTGAAGGGCGTGAGCCCTGGCCAGACTGCCTTTGTTGGAATCCTGGCTCTGCCATGGATCTGCCGAGTCCCAGCCAGCCACTTTCCTCTCCAGGCCTCAGTTTCCTCATCTGTCAAATGGGAATGGTATGGTGCGCACCTGTATGAGGGGTCGTGCGTGACATGTGGATTGTGCTGTCAGGAGCTCGGGAGTACGTGCCACGGGACAGCACTAGAGCCATGCCAGCATTCAGTGAGCTCTGTGGGGTGACAGGAAGCTCCCGAGGCCAGGCCTAGGGCTTCTGGCGCATGGGCAGCGGAGTGGAGACAGCTTCCTCTTTTGAAAGGTTGGCAGGAGCAAGGTGGAGGCTGACGGATGTAGGAGAAGAAGGTCTCACACAGTCTGGGGGGCAAGTGTGGGTGCCCTGAGGTGCCCAGGGAGGGGAGTGTAAGGCAGAGCAAACCCGGGAGGACCATGAGTGCCAGGCGAGAAGCAGGGTGACTTTTGCCCTGAGGGTGATATGGCCAAGGGGGGTTTAATGGGTGGGGCAGGATCAGCTTAGGTGGCCCAGATATGAGGGGAGCCCAGCCTGGGAGCATCTGGGGACAGTTTCTAGAAGACGTGAGTACTACAGCACTAAGAGTTTGCTAGAAGGGCAGGAATGAAGGGCCCTCCCAGTACTCCTGGGCACCACATGCAGAGGCCCGAAGGTGTGAAGACAGTGGTGAACTGTGTGGGGAAGGTGTGAAGACAGTGGTGAACTGTGGGGAAGGTGTGAAGACGGTGGCAAACTGTGTGGGGAAGGTGTGAAGATGGTGGTGAACTGTGTGGGGAAGGTGTGAAGATGGTGAACTGTGTGGGAAAGGTGTGAAGATGGCGGTGAACTGTGTGGGGAAGATGTGAAGATGGCAGTGAACTGTGTGGGAAAGGTGTGAAGACGGTGAACTGTGTGGGGAAGGTGTGAAGAAGGTGTGGAAGACGGTGGTGAACCGTGTGGGGAAGGTGCAAGACTATGTGAACTGTGTGGGGAAGGTGTGAAGATGGCAGTGAACTGTGTGGAAAGGTGTGAAGACGGTGAACTGTGTGGGGAAGGTGGAAGACGGTGGTGAATCTGGTGTGGGGAAGGGGTGTGAAGATGGTGGGTGAACTGGGGGTGGAGAAGGTGTGAAGACGGTGTGAATCAGTGGGGAACGGGTGAAGATGGTGGTGAACTGTGTGGGGAAGGTGTGAAGACAGTGGTGAACTGTGTGGGGAAGGTGTGAAGACGGTGGTGAAACTGTGTGGGGAAGGTGTGAAGACAGTGGTGGAACTGTATGGGAAGGTGTGAAGATGGTGGTGAACTGTGTGGGAAGGTGTGAAGACAGTAGTGTGAACTGTAAAGGTGTGAAGACAGTGAACTGTGGGAAGGTGTGAAGACGGTGGTGAACTGTGGGAAGGTGTAAGACAGTGGAACTGTGGGGAAGGTGGAAGACGGTGGTGAACTGTGGGGAAGGTGTGAAGACGGGGTGGTGAACTGTGTGGGAAAGGTGTGAAGATCGTGGTGAACTGTGGGAAGGTGTGGAAGACGGTAGAACTGTGTGGGAAAGGTGTGAAGACGGTGGTGAACTGTGTGGAGAAGGTGTGAAGACAGTGAACTGTGTGGGGAAGGTGTGAAGATGGTGTTGAACTGTGTGGGGCAGGTGTGAAGATGGTGTTGAACTGTGTGGGGCAGGTGTGAAGATGGTGTTGAACTTTGTGGGGCAGGTGTGAAGACGGTGGTGAACTGTGTGGGGCAAGTGTGAAGACGGTGCTGAACTATGTGGGGAAGGAGGAGGCGAGTGCCAGCAGCAGAAGCCGGGGCAGCTGAGGGCCCACCAGTGCCCTGGGTGTGCTGAGGGGTCGGGATGAGGTCTGAGCAGGTCGCCCCTGGGAGCTAGAAGGGCTCCTCTGGGGATGAGTCTGGAGGCTTCTCATGGGTGGGGGCCGTGAGGACAAGAGGGCAGTGCCTGCACGTGGCAGCTGCAGGCGCCTGCTGGACACAGGGCACCTCCTCTCTCTGAGGTGTGCCGCCATCTGTAGGAAAACCAGCAAGCGCTTCCACGAGCCCTCGGTGCCCGCCTGGGCACTGAGCTCCTGACAGCTGTTCATGGTGGTATTGCTGTGGGGGACGTGTGCTCCACCCCTCCCCTGCAGCCTCCTTCCCTCCTTGCAGCTTCGGAACCAAAAAGAAGCTTCCCAGAGCCGGGGCCAGGAGCCCCAAGCGCCCTGTAGCAGCAAACACAGAAGGTATAGGGAGGGAGGAGTCGGGGGCTGGCGGGGTGGCTGGAGGCCCCGGGCTTGCACCGCAGCACCCTCTCGTTCCGCAACAGGAGCTCTGTGTGTCGTCTGAGCAGCCGAGAGAAGATTTCCCTCCAGGACCTGTCCAAGGAGCGCCGGCCTGGTGGGGCTGGGGGGCCCCCTATCCAGGACGAGGATGAGGGGGAAGAAGGTCCCGCCGGTGAGGAGCCTGAATCTGGACTCCTGGGTCCAAGGGAGGAGGGGTCGGGTTCTTTGAATCTAGAGGCAGCTGGCGTCTTCTGTGACCTACCCGGTATTCCCACATCACAGAGCCACGCTCTGCAGAACCCAGGACCCTCAATGGCGTCTCCTCCCCACCGCACCCCAGTCCTAAGAGCCCCGTGGTGAGTGGATGCCCTGAGAGGTCCTGTGAGGCTGGGAGGGCCGGGAGGTGGGAGTTCATAAAGCCTGTGAACCTCTGGCAGGGGCAGGTAGGGTGAAGACTATAGTTCCCAGAGTCCTCCTGGACAACCGGCTTCCTTTTTAGGTTGTGCTTGCCCCAGGGGCTGATGGGAATTGTAGTTTGTTGCAGTCCTTTGGGGGCTAACCCTTGAGGTCTGAGAAGAGGAATCCTTTCTCCCTGAGACCTCCTTCTTCTCCCAGCCGCCTGAAGAGGCCCCCTTCTCCAGGCGCTTTGGCCTCCTGAAGACAGGGAGTTCTGGTGCCCTGGGTCCCCCGGAAAGGCGGATGGCAGAGGGAGCCCCTGGGGCTGGGCTGCAGCGCTCGGCTTCCTCCTCCTGGCTGGAAGGGACCTCCACCCAGGTGAGTGAGGGTTGGGCCGGGTCCGGGCCCAGGCCCCTGCCCAGATGAGGGAACTGCCCCTTCCTCCTCCTCTCCACACAGGCCAAGGAGCTCCGTCTTGCCAGAATTACCCCGACCCCCTCCCGGAAGCTGCCGGAGCCCTCTGCCCTGTGAGTCCCCAAGGCCTGGGCCCCTCGGGGGTAGGCGGCAGATGTGGGTTCCAAGCCTGTCTGTATGATCCTGAGACCATGTGCCCCCCGGGGTCTGATTCCTGCTCCCACCCCAGAGCCTGTGCTGTGTTCCTCCTGGCGGCTGGCTCCCTCCCTCAAGCCTGTGTTGAAACGTCAACTTCTCCCCATCATCCCCCCACCCCGAGGCGCACGGACCACCTGCTGCCACCTCTGAGCCGTGGGCACACGCCCCTCCCGCTCCGCTCCCAGTTCTCGCACTGCTGCTTCTGTCCAGCGTCCTTTACCCTTCTGACCGCTTGGGTGGAGTGCTGGTCTTTTCATGGCTATTGTCGGTGTTGTGTATTTCTGCTCAGCTCTGACTCTGGTGGCCCAGATAATTTGTTTCTTTTGTACACGGCTGCATCTCCAGTGCCGGCACACAATGCACCTGGGTAATGTTTGTTGAATGAATGAATTGATGCAGGTCTGAGGTCACCAAGCCTCCTCCTTGCTTGGAGAACTCCTCGCCTCCCTCCAGGATTCCGGAGCCTGAATCTCCAGCGAAGCCAAACGCCCCCACAGCCTCCACAGCGCCCTCAGCGGACTCCCGGGACCGACGGAGGTGCAGAGGCTAGGGCAGGAAGCTGCCGCCCCCGCCCCCGCCCCAGCCCCGGCCCCCAGCCAGCAGAGACTATGTCAAGCCGGAGTCCCGGGGCTCTGGGTGGGTTCCTGAGGGAGGGCTGGCCCCGGGTCTGCTGGGAGTTGGAGTCCCCTCCCATGGAACTTGCCTCCCGCAGAGGGTGTCAGCCACGGAATGGGACAGGGTCCCCAGGGCCCCTCCCTGAGGTTGGGACCCTTCCCTCAGGTCCTACCAGATGCCTGTGCGGGATGAGGAGTCGGAATCCCAGAGAAAAGCTCGCTCCCGTCTCATGCGCCAGTCTCGGAGGTCCACACAGGTGTGGGGTGGGCTGGGGGCTTGCACCCCTGGGTCTGAGGGAGGAGGGGCTGGGGGGTGGCCAGGGGCTTGCACCCTGGGTCTGGAGGGAGAGGGCCAGGGGCTGCACCCTGGGCCTGAGGGAGGAGGGGCTGGGGGCTTGCACCCCTGGGTCTGAGGGAGGAGGGGCTGGGGGCTTGCACCCCTGGGTCTGAGGGAGGAGGGGCTGGGGTCTGGACTCTTGGGTCTGAGGGAGGAGGGACTGGGGTCTGGACTCCTGGGTCTGAGGGAGGAGGGGATGGAGTCTGGACTCCTGGGCCTGAGGGAGGAGGGACTGGGGTCTGGACTCCTGGGTCTGAGGGAGGAGGGACTGGGGTCTGGACTCCTAGGTCTAAGGGAGGAGGGGATGGAGTCTGGACTCCTGGGCCTGAGGAAAGAGGAGCTGGGCCCTGACCCCAGCATCCCCTGACTGTCCCCTTTCCCTGCCAGGGTGTGACTCTGACAGATCTGAAGGAGGCAGAGAAGTCTGCAGGGAAGGCCCCAGAGTCAGAGAAGCCGGCGCAGAGCCTGGTGAGAGGGGTCAGCGAGGGCGTGTGGGGTGGTGCGGGATGTCCTGGTCCCCTGACTCACCAACCCCTCCCGACAGGACCCTTCCCGGAGGCCCCGCATCCCTGGAGTGGAGAACTCCGACAGCCCTGCCCAGAGAGGTGAGGTCTGCTCTTTGGGGGAGGTCATTCCCGGGAATCATCGTCTCTCCCAGAGTCTTCCTGCTTTCCTGGGGGCTTGACCCGGGGACCCGAGCCCCCAGAGGGGTCTCTGGAGGTGCCTAGACTGATTCCTGCCCCTCCCCCAGCAGAGGCGCCTGACGGGCAGGGTCCAGGACCGCAGGCGGCCAGGGAGCCCCGCAAGGTCGGAAAGGAGTGGAGGGGGCCTGCGGAGGTGAGGGGGGCTCAGGTGGGGCCGAGCTGGTGCAGAGGGTGGGCCGGGGGGCGGGCAAAGCCCCTCCCATACCCGCTAAAGCGCCTCCCATGCCCATTGAACCCCCCTCTACCTGCCCACAGGGGGAGGAGGCGGAGCCGGCTGACCACAGTCCGGAGTCCAGGTAGGGGCGGGGTGGGAGAGGTGGGGCCTGCGTGCGGCCCGGGCCAGCCCCTGACGCGCGTTCCGCCCCCGCCCCAGCACCCTGGAGGGCGGCCCCTCAGCCCGCAGGCAGCGGTCACAGCGGGACCTCCACCCAGAAGCTGAGCCAGAGTCGGAGGAGCAGGACGGAGGCTTTAGGAAGGTGTGATCCCACCCCTCCTTTGGGGCTCCGCCTGCTAGGTGCCCACCTCCTGGCTTCCCCGCCCCCAGCGTCGCCCCTGCCCTCCACCTGACCCTCCTCCGCCTGACCTTCCTCCACCCGACCCCCAGCTGTATGCAGAGCTGCGCAGGGAGAACGAGCGGCTTCGCGAGGCTCTGACCGAGACCACGCTGCGGCTGGCGCAGCTCAAGGTGGAGCTGGAGCGGGCCACGCAGGTAAAGGCGCCGAGGCCAGGGTCACCAGAACTGGCAGGGCCGCCTGGGTGGGGCTCAGACTGCTGGGAGGCAGAGCCTGGCCTGGAGGGGCCGATGGGGCTTCGCTCCACCTGAGGGCCTGGCCGAGATCTCGGAGGCGGGGTCTGAGCGAATGGGGGTGGGGCTGTGGGCCTGCTGGGGGCGGGGCCTGGCCCATGGGGGCGGGGCTGGTGGGCTGCCTAGTGGGCGGGCGGGTCCCCAGCAGGAATGTAGGACCCCTCCTCAGAGCAGTGCTGGCTTCCCCTGCTGACCCCTGTGCTTTCTGCGTCCTCACCAGAGGCAAGAGCGCTTCGCTGAGAGGCCAGCCCTTCTGGAGCTGGAGAGATTCGTGAGTAGGGACAGTGGGGACGGGAGCCAGAGGCGTTCCCAGCCTCACATCACTAAGTTTGGACCAAGAGAGCCACATTGCCCTTCCCAGCTGGCCCCTGGCCTTCCCCTGTCCTCAGCCTCACTCGGTTTCTGAACTTTCCCTGTTCTTTCCAGGAGCGCAGGGCCCTGGAACGCAAGGCCGCAGAGCTGGAGGAAGAGCTGAAGGTGGGGTCTGTGGGCAGAGGGCCGAGGGTGGGCGGGGGCGCAACCCACCAGGGCTGCCCAGCTGACTCTTTGCCGTCCCCCAGGCCCTGTCTGACCTCCGTGCTGACAACCAGCGCCTCAAGGATGAGAATGCGGCGTTGATCCGCGTTATCAGCAAACTCTCCAAGTGACCTGGAGGGACTTTCCCGCACCCGTATTTATACAGCTGCTTCTGCCACACGCACCCCTTCCCCCGTGTGAACACGAGTGACAGGGCTCCGGGGGAAGTCTCAGAGAAGCCATAGCCCCCCTGGGACCTCCGAACTTGGAGGGGAGCAGAGTCCCCAGGAGCCAAGGGGGCCACCCGAGGCCAGGATGGAGGTGGGAGGCCGAGCCAAGTAAGGGGACGTTGCCAGAGGGGACCAGGGCCAGAGCCGGGACTAGGAAGGAACTGAGGACCAAGAAGTGCAAGGACCAGTAGCCAGGACCAGAGTGGCCGCCTGGAGGTCCCCCTCTCACGTGTGATGCCACCCCGTCACCCCCCTCCTGAGCAGGGATCCAAGACTGTGCCAAGAGTCCTGCCGGCCTCAGCCAGGTGGGCCTGTATATAGGGTCCATGTGCAATAGGGAGGGATGTCTTCTATTTTTTGCTGCCCCCTCCACGCCCACTGTCTGGGGCAGGGGGAGAAGGTATTTTCGAGATAAAGCACAGGCACCACAAATAAAAGTCGTGAAGTTGCCACTCAAGGTCTGTGTTCCCAGCCAGAGGGAGGGCACCGTTTCCAGCTTCTGTGCTGGGGGGCTGTGCATGTCTGTGACCAAACCACTGGGCCGCTGGGTGGGGTGCCGAGGGATGGGCTGGTGCTTGCTCACCGGTGTGGCAGAGGAGCTTCAGGATGAGCCCCCAGTGGGAGTGAAGGCTCCAAGACGGAGCCGGCGTGATCACAGGCAGGGGGCTGAGGG